AGCACGCCAGGCACCCCTGTGATGAATCAACAGGGGGCGGCGGATCGAAGACGCCTACGGCGAATCACCGCCGCCCCCTGCCTTTTTTGAAGCGCCTATGTGGCCGAACGTTGAGGCCAGACCTGCCAAGCTATCGGACCATGTGTTCCCCGAATCGGTTTGGAAAGCCTTCGGGGAACACGTGGGCATCTTGAAGGTCACCTTGGCCGCCTGGAGGCCATTTTGACCCTTTCGAGCCTTCTTGGAGGACGTCTTGGATGGCTCTTGGGCCGTCTTGGAGGCCATCTTGAGCGTCTTGGAGATCTCTTGGGCCGTCTTGGGGGCCTCTCGGGGCCGTCTTGGGCATCTTGGGCGATCTTTGGGGGCACTTGGGCCGTCTCGGGCCGACGGAAGGCAGAAAAAACAAATGTCACAATCCCTCAACAACTCAGGGGAAAACAATAATTTTGGCCTTTTCGGGCCTTCCTGGAGGCCCTCTTGGAGGCCTCTTGAGCCGTCTTGGGCCATCTTAGTGTCATCTTCGGCCGTCTTGGTGGGCCTCTGGCCCGTCCGACGCCGTCGGAAGCCGTTTGGGGGGCCTCGCTGAGCCGACTTGGGGCCCTCGTGGAATGCTCCAGGGCCGTCTTGGAGGCCATCTTGTGCGTCTTAAAAGCCTCCTTTGCCGTCTTGGGGGCCTCTTGGGGCTGTTTTGGGGGCCTCTTGGGCGATCTTTGGGCGATCTTTGGGGGCTCTTGGGCCGTATCGGGCCGTCGGAAGGCCGAAACAAAGCAAATGTCAAAATCCTTTAAAACCTATCGAAAACACATGTTTTTGGCCTCTTCAGGCCTTCCTGGAGGCCCTCTTGGAGGCCTCTTGAGCCGTCTTGGGCCAGCTTCGAGCCAACTTCGGCCATCTTGGTGGGCTCCTGGCCCGTCTGACGCCGTCGGAAGCCGTTTGGGGGGCCTTTTTGGGCCGACTTGGGGCCCTCTTGGGGTGCTCCAGGGCCGTCTTAGAGGCCATCTTGGGCGTCTTGGAGGCCTCTTGGGTCGTCCTTGTGCCCTCTTGGGGCCGTCTTGGGGGCCTCTTGGACAGTCCTGAGGCCATCTTGGAGGTGTCGTGGACGATCTTGGGGCGATCTTGAAGGCCTCTTGGGGCGTCTTGGGCAGCCGGAATGCTTGGGTCGTCTTGGAGGCTTCTCGGGCGAACTTGAACGTATCTGGGACCCTCTTGGGCCGTCTGGGAGGGTGTCGTGGGCCATCTTGGGCGAGCTTGAGGGCCATCTTGGCCGTCTTGGAGGCCATCTTGAGCCGTCTTGGATTTTTTTTTGCGGACGTTGAGGTCGTTTGCGGGCCTGGAGTTCCCTCCTGGGACTCCGACCGGACGCGCCGGAGCCCCAGGGGGAGTTCTTTTGGAAAAGAACCAAAACCGAAACCGAAGTCGTTTAGCACGCCAGGCACCCCTGCGATGAATCGACAGGGGGCGGCGGATCGAAGGCGCCTACGGCGAATCACCGCCGCCCCCTGCCTTTTTTGAAGCGCCTATGTGGCCGAACGTTGAGGCCAGACCTGTCAAGCTATCGGACCATGTGTTCCCCGAATCGGTTTGGAAAGCCTTCGGGGAACACGTGGGCATCTTGAAGGTCATCTTGGCCGTCTGGAGGCCATTTGGCCCATCTTGGAGGACGTCTTGGAGGGCTCTTGGGCCGTCTTGGAGGCCATCTTGTGCGTCTGGGAGGCCTCTTGGGCCGTCTTGGGGGCCTCTTGGGGCCGTCTTGGGGCGATCTTTGGGCGATCTTTGGGGGCTCTTGGGCCGTATCGGGCCGTTGTTCGGCCGAAACAAAGCAAATGTCAAAATCCTTCAAAAACCCATAGGAAAATACATATTTTTGGCCTCTTCTGGCCGTCCTGGAGGCCTTCTTGGAGGCCTCTTGGGCCGTCTTGGGCCATCTTAGGGCCATGTTCGGCCGTCTTGGTGGGCTCCTGCTCCGTCTGACGCCGTCGGAAGTCGTTTGGGAGGCCTCTATGGGCCGACTTGGGGCCCTCTTGGAATGCTCCAGGGCCGTCTTGGAGGCCCATCTTGGGCGTCTTGGAGGCCTCCTGTGCCGTCTTGGGGGCCTCTTGGGGCCGTCTTGGGGCCCTCTTGGGCCGTTCTGGGGCCATCTTGGAGGCCTCTTGGGCGATCTTTCGGCGAGCTTCGGGGGCTCTTGGGTCGTCTCGGGCCGTCGGAAGGCCGAAACGAAGCAAATGCCAAAATCCGTCAAAACCCTTAGGAAAATCAATGTGTTGGGCCTCTGCTGGCCTTCCTGGGGGCCCTCTTGGGGGCCTCTTGGGCGTCTTGGGCCAGATTCGAGCCAACTTCGGCCACCTTGGTGGGTTCCTGCCACGTCTGACGCCGTCGGGAGCCGTCTTGGGGGCCTTTCTTTCTGGGCCGACTTGGGGCCCTCTTAGGGCGCTTCGGGGCCGTCTTGGAGGCCATCTTGGGCGTGTTGGAGGCCTCTTGGCCGTCTTGGGGCCTCTTGGGGCCGTCTTGGAGGCCACTTGGGCCGTCATGGTGCCCTTTTGGGGGCCTCTTGGGCGATCTTTGGGGCCGTCTTGGGCAGTCGGAAAGCCGAAAAGGCGCAAATGCCAAAATCCTTCAGAAACCTAGGGAAAATCAATGATTTTGGCCCTGTCGGGCCTTCCTGGAGGACGTCTTGGAGGGCTCTTGGGCCGTCTTGGAGGCCTCTTGCGGGCCTGTTGGGCCGTCGTAGACCATCTTGAGGCCATCTTGGGCCGTCTTGGAGGCATCTTGGGGCCATCTTAGCCGTTTTGGAGGCCATCTTGGGCCGTCTTGGAGACGTCTTGGAGACCATCCTGGGCCATCTTGGCCGTTTTGGACGCCATCTTGGGCCAACTGGAGGAAACAGAGGCACGACGGACGCGTTTTGAGATCCTTTCCGGGTGGCCGGCGGGACGGGCCGAAGCCCCAGGGGGAGTTCTTTTGGAAAAAGAACCAAAACCCAAAGCCATATCATTTGGCACGCCAGGCACCCCTTGGATAAATCAAAAGGGGGTGGCGGATCTAGTGGCCTTCGGCCCAGAGGCGGCTTGAATCGTGAGCCAGAGGCGGCTTGAATTCGGATAATTAAAGGTTTCTTCGGCTGCCTCTTGGAGGCCTCTGGGTAGCTTGCGGGCCTTGGGGGGCCTCTCGGGGGCCTGGCCGCGGTCTCAGGGGTCATCTTAGGGCACTGGTCCCGAAATGTCAGTTTCTGCGCCCCCTCTTGGGCCTGCCTTGGGACCCCCTTGGGCCGTCTCGAGGCCCTTTTGGGACGTCCTGGGGCTCCCTTTTGGGCTCCTTGGAAATTCAGCAACACTCCCACCCCCCGCAATTCAAAGCTGGTGCGTTCCTTGAAGACCACCCGGAGGCCCAAAATCGGAAGATCCGAAACCAACATTGCATTTGGGGAGAGGGGGAGGGGAGTTCAAACCATCTGTTTTGCATGAGTGTTGCTTAACTGTTTCCGACACCTGTCTTTGGGGCCTCTTGGACCGTCGTGGAGCGTTGGCAGACAGAAAAGACGAGACGCTGAAATCCTTGAGCAACCCTAGGGAAAGCATCGATTTTTGCGTCTGGGGGCTATCGCGGGAATACTCTTGGAGGGGTTATTGGGCCCTGAGAAGTCTTGCCGGCACATTGGGCCGTCGTGGCGCGCTCCTGGGCCGTTTCAGGGCCACCTGGGAACGCCTTGCATTGAAGTTGCCAGAGGAGGGCCGCTCTGGCCCGAGGATGACCTCCAAGGGAGAGCGGGAGCTCTTCCAGGAGGAGGGTATTCCCCCCGGGAGCCCCCACCCCACCCCCCCGCGACACGCCCTGGGATCCCCCCCTGCGAGAAGGAATCAAAGGGAAGGAGTTTCCCTTCGACTCGATGGCGACATCGTCGTGTTGCGGCCTCGTAATGCGGTGCCTTCATGTTGCGGCCTCGTCATTGTGGTGGTCTCAAGTAAGACTCCTGCATCACATCGAATGTGCGGGTATTTACCCTCACCCGTGCACCTCCCTGGTTGCGCGGGGGGGAGCGTCCCTGCGCAGGTCCCGCATGGGACCCGCGCTAATCGAGGTTAGCCCCCTCTTCGCTGCCTTAGATCCCTTCGGGGCGGTTGCGAGATTCCAATGGTCAACGCTCCCTCTCAATCACCAAGACCCCACAGCTGTCGACTGCTCCCAGCTTCGTCCTCAGTTTCACCTCCAGTCCCGGCCGCCCGGGGATGAGGCCAGGGAGCGAGCATGGGCGACGGTATAGGTAAACCCATCTAGCCACCGCGAAGGTGAGCATAAACACATCACACAACACACAACACAGCACACAACACACAACACGCAGCACACAGCACACAGCACACAACACACAACACACAACACACAACACACAACACACAACACACAACACACAACACACACACAACACACAACACAGCACACAACACATAACACACACACAGCACACAACACAGCACAAAACACACAACACACAACACGCAACACACAACACGCAACACACAACACACACGCACACACGCACACACGCACACACGCACACACGCACACACGCACACGCGCACACACGCACACACGCGCACACACAATCACGCACACGCACACGCACACGCACACGTACACACACACACACGCACAGACAAGCACACACACACACATGTTCACACACATTCGCACGCATATTTACACACATTCACACACACACACATTCACAGACACCACACTTGCACGGTCGTGGGTATCGTTGCGACCTGGAGCAGCATTCCATATTTTACGTCGCCCTGACAACACACGCTGTGCGTACGGTCTTCCTCCTTCCTTCCGCCCTTCTCTCTTCTCCTTCCTCACTCCTTCCCACGGCCTCTTTAGCCCCCCCCCCTCTTGGCGGGAGGTGGGTGGGACGGCCGTGGGGGGTGGGAGGGGGCGGGAGGTGGATGGGGGAATAGGTGTGGACGCGGACCCTCGTGCGGCTTACCCGCCTCCCCGAGGTTCAGAAGAGAGCAGAGTGGCTGAACGACAAGGTCTTCACCGACAGGCCCATCAATCGGAAAGCAATGGAGATTATGTCGACTCTCGACATACCCAGCGCCATGAGCCTGTTCAGAGAGCTGGAGGAGATGGGCGACTCCTGTCGCAATCCTAGTGGCTTCTTGGTCTCCAGATCCAGAGACGGCTCCTCCAGCCCGGCCATCATTGCAGCTGCACCCCGCGACAAGGGTGACAAGGTCGGCGGCGCGTGCGAAGGGGGGCAAAGGGGCGGGGGTGGCAGGCGAGCAGGCGGGGGCCTACTGAGAAGGGCAGGGGGCTCTCTCAGAAGCTCGGAGGTTTATCTGAAGAGCATTTTCAAACGCCCACACGCCCCTGTGAGAAGCCCCCTCAATCCGCTCAGAGCTGGTTCCCTTCTCCGGCACAAAGCAGCGACGATGGAGGACGGAGGGCTGCTCCTCCTCCTTCTCCTCCTGCGCCTCCGCCTCCGCCTCCGCCTCCGCCTTCTCCTCCTTTCTCCTCCTCCTCCGCAAGGGTTGTGCCAAGCGGTAGTGACCCAGATGGCCCCAGGCCATGCCCTACATCGGGCCACCGTGCCCTTCGGGGTGGTGCCCCAGGAAACTGGACCCACCAACGGGGCTCAGGCGCCCCTAAGCCATTCACATCAAGCTCCTCCGCCTCATTCTCCTCCTCCTCCTCCTCCTCTACCTCATTCTCCTCCTCCTCCTCCTCCTCCTCCTTTCTCCTCCTCCGCGTCCGCCCCTCCAGCTTCGAGGCCTGCCTCCTTAAGAGGACCGCCCCCTCAATCCGTTCAGATCGGGCTCCCTCCCGGGGTACATCCTGGCCGGCCATGCGAGCCGCGCCCGGCCGCCGCGGCTGGAAGCCCTCACAAGACGACGACGTCGACGGCGGCGTCGGTGTTGCCGCGCCGCCCCTGTGCGCGCGCCGCTGCTGGCGAGGGCAAGGGCAAGGGCAAGGGCGACAAGGGCAAGGGCAAGGGTGGGGGTGGCGGCAAGAGCGGCGCGTCCGACGAAGACAGGACCCCGGGGATCGTCGCGCGAGGTCGGCCTGGCTGGGGCGGCCGCCCAGTCAGATATCTCTGCCGGTGGGCCCTGCGACGGAGGAGGAAGAGGAGCAGGAGGAGGAGGACGAAGCAGAGCAAGAGGATGAGCCTGATGATGGTGGTGGTGATGATGAGATTGTCTGTGGTGGTGATGATGATGACGAGGAGGAGGAGAAGGAGCAGGAAGAGGAGGAGCAGGAGGAGGATGAAGCAGAGCAAGAGGAGGAGCCTGATGATGGTGGTGGTGATGATGAGATTGTGGTAATGATGATGATGACGATGACGATGATGATGATGATGATGCTGCTGATGATGATGCTGATGCTGATGCTGATGCTGATGCTGATGCTGATGCTGATGCTGATGCTGATGCTGCTGATGATGATGCTGATGCTGATGCTGATGATGATGATGATGCTGATGCTGATGATGATGATGATGATGATGATGCCTGACGGTGGTGATGGTGAGTCTGGTAGATGACAAGGAGCATGATGATGGTGACGATGGCCGCGGCGATGGTGATGTTGCTGGTGACGATTCTGATGGTGGTGGCAATGATGGGGGTGATAGGGGAATCGGGAGGATGAGGAAGAGGAGAACGGTAAGGAGGACGCACACGAGCAGGGGTTTGGGAGGAGGTGCATGATAATGATGGTGCATTCGTGGTGATGACGAGGAGGGGGCGGCGGAGGAGGAGTACGAGTAGTAGTCGAGGTAGCCAGGCCGAACGAGCCAGCGCGCCCCGCCCATTCCCACCTTCCCTTTGATAGCATACTAGTCGCGCAGCTTCCCGCCTGCGCCCGTTCCCACCAGCGCCCGCTCCCGCCCGCGCCAGTTCCCGCCCGCGCCCGTTCCCGCCCGCTTCCGTGCCCGCCACCTAGCGACGACTTGGCGGGCGGAACAAAACGCGGACCGCGCAGTGCCGGGAGCGGAGCCTCAACAAAATCCTTGCGCGGCTCGTCGGCGAGAGCTCCATGCAGCCCTGTCCCTCGGCGGCCACATGCCCGATGATCGCGGCCAAGACGGGGCATGCGCCGCGCCGAAATGGCACTGCCATTTTCACGCGCAAGTCGCGCGGCGCTCGGGTGTTGTGCGGACATGGTTTTGCCCGCTCTCGCGCGGCCCCGCTGCCGCTGCCGTTTTCACGCGATCCAGCGAGCGAAACATGCGCCGCGCGCCCAAGCGGGCACCCCACTTTCAGGCGACACCTGCGCGAACTTGGGCGAGGGCGAGAAGTCGCCCGCTCGCGTGCTGCCTTACCTTCAGAGTCGTGACGAGTGACAGTTGCGCGCTGAGTGGAGGCAGGAGCGCCATGATTCGGCGAAATCTGCGAGGTGCCTAGGTGAGAACGACATTTTGTCCGCTCTCGCGCGGCCCCGTTGACATCGGCTCGTTGACATCGACTTGGCGAGCGAAAGCTGTCCGCCGCGCCCAAGAGGGAAGGCATCTTCCAGGATACATAGCACGGCGCCGAAACGAGAGCACTATTTCGCTTCTTCGCGCGGGAAATTGGGCCCACCACACTCACGCCACGCATTTGGAAGCGCCGCCGCCAAAACGTCCATGTTTGCGAAGGACGTTGACCTTGTACTGATGGGTAGGGTGGAACCACTTGGATGTTGTCGCCATTGGTCAGCCAGGACGCCGTGCAGGAATGAACGTGTACATCTGCGAATGGAACCGGTGTGGGCGTGTGTTAATCAATGTGCCCTGGAGGTTTCAGTTTTTGGAGGATTATTTATCTGCTGGCGGCGGTACACCCTGGAATCCTTATCCAGTGGTTCCTGATCCAATGCTTTCACCGTGCTCGTCGTAGTAGTAGTAGTAGTAGTAGTAGTAGTAGTAGTAGTAGTAGTAGTAGTAATCGTAGTAGTCGTAGTAGCTATATTATTATTTTTAGTAGTAGTAGTAGTAGTAGTAGTAGTAGTAGTAGTAGTAGTGATAGTAATACTAGTAGTAGTAGTAGTAGTAGTAGTAGTAGTAGTAGTAGTAGTAGTAATCGTAGTAGTAGTAGTAGTAGTAGTAGTAGTAGTAGTAGTAGTAGTAGTAGTAGTAGTAGTAGTAGTAGTAGTTGTTTGTTACTACTAGTAGTAGTAGTCGTAGTAGTAGTGGTAGTAGTAGTAGTAGTAGTAGTAGTAGTAGTAGTAGTAGTAGTAGTTAGTCGTAGTAGTAGTCGTAGTAGTAGTAGTAGTAGTAGCAATAATAGTAGTAATAATAGTAGTGTAGTGTCGTCGTCGTCGTCGTGGTAGTAGTGGTTGTAGTCGGTAGTAGTAGTAGTAGTAGTAGTAGTAGTAGTAGTAGAGTCGTAGTGTAGTAGCACGAATAGTAGTAGTAGTGTAGTAGTAGTAGTAGTCGTAGTAGTATAGTAGTAGGAGAAGTAGTAGTAGTAGTAGTAGTAGTAGTAGTAGTAGTAGTAGTATAGTAGTAGTAGTAGTAGTAGTAGTAGTCGTCGTAGTAAGTAGTAGTAGTAGTAGTAGTAGTCGTAGTAGTAGTAGTAGTAGTAGTAGTAGTAGTAGTAGTAGTAGTAGTAATAGTATTAGTAGTAGTAGTCGGAGTAGTAGTAGTAGTAGTAGTAGTAGTAGTAGTAGTAGTAGTAGTAGTAGTAGTAGTACTAGTAGTAGTTGTAGTCGTAGTAGCAGTAGTAGTATCAGTAGTAGTAGTAGTAGTAGTAGTAGTAGTAGTAGTAGTAGAACTAGTAGTCGTAGTCGTAATAGTAGTAGTAGTAGTAGTAGTAGTTGTTGTTGTTGTCGTAGTACTCGTAGTGGTAGTAGCAGTAGTAGTATTAGTAGTAGTAGTAGTTGTTGTACTACTAGTAGTAGTAGTCGTAGTAGTAGTGGTAGTAGTGGTAGTAGTAGTAGTAGTAGTAGTAGTAGTAGTAGTAGTAGTAGTAAAAGTAAAAGTAGACGTGGTAGTAGTAGTACTTGTAGTAGCAGCAGTCGTGGTAGTAGTAGTAGTAGTAGTAGCAGTAGTAGTAGTAGTAGTAGTAGTAGTTGTAGTGGTAGTGGTAGTAGTAGTAGTAGAAGTAGCAGTAGCAGTAGTAGTAGTAGTAGGAGTAGTCGTCGTAGTAGTAGAAGTAGTAGTAGTATTCGGAATCGCATTAGTAGTAGTAGTGGTAGTAGGAGTAGTAGTAGTAATAATAGTGGTAGTAGGAGTAGTGGTAGTACTAGTAGTAGTAGTAGTCGTAGCAAGTAGTTGTGGTAGCGCTACTAGTAGCTGTAGTAGTAGTAGTAATAGTAGTAGTAGTAGTAGTAGTAGTAGTAGCAGTCGTAGTAGTAGTAGTAGTAGTAGTAGCAGCAGTAGTAGTAGTAGTAGTAGTAGTAGTACTAGTAGTACTAGTAGTACTAGTAGTTATAGCAGTAGTGGTGATAGTGGTAGTAGTAGTAGTAGTAGTAGTACTCGCAGTACTGATAGTCGTAGTAGTAGTCGTCTTACAAGTGGTAGTCGTAGTAGTCGCAGTCGCAGTAGTCGCAGTAGTAGTAGCAGTAGTAGTAGTTGTGGCAGTAGTTGTCGTGGCAGGGGCAGAGGTAGTCGCAGTAGTAGTAGTAGTAGTAGTAGTAGTAGTAGTAGTA